TAACATTTATTCTTAAAGTTGAAAGTATTTTTTCCTACTGCATTATATAACAGCTAAGTACTTCGTATGAAATATTATATTGCTAGTAAGCTTACAGTATATATATTAACAGCATTTTTGTTGCTGTTTTTAAATTTGCGAACTATTTTTAAAACTGTATGAAAAATTAGAATGTCAAAGAAAATCTCTATTGAATACTGCATCAAAGTTTATTTTACATAAACGGTCATCGTTAACTCCAAATACCATAACTATCTGTGTCGATAATGATAATTTATGCTGTTACAAAAAAAGAAGTTTCAAACTACAACGTTTATCAATCTATGCTTAGAATTATAGAAACAAAAGGGTCAGACTAATGCCTTATCACATAGCACCACGTAGCACCACCAATACCAAACTAGAATATTACCAAGAAAGACTTGAATTGACAAAAAAAAATTTTTTTTAAATTAAATTTTAACTGTTTAATGTTTGTTGATGTATATTTTCGTTTCGCTGCTATTGTTTTCTTCGCATAATAAAAGATCATGTCTTTTTATACATTTAACCGTACAAATACTGAAGATTCTTTAAAGTAAGCAACCAAGTGTCAGTTCGTATTATATGCATCGACTGGCATATTAATATAGTCTGCTTTTTTTTATAACTGAAACTGTCTGCAGTAATTTAACTGATGAGAAAAAAAAATTTGTTTTTATGATGTATAGAAATAATCAACTGTGGAAAGTCTGTAACACGTAACGGCATTGGTTTGATCTTCTTAAATTCTTTACAAATAATAAAAGTTTTTTTACTTTTCTCAATTACTCGTGGTTATCCAAATTTGTTCATCCACCTATCTGCCATTAAGCAGTTTCTGATCATATGACATTATCTTTCTGAGCCGATATAACTATCTAGTTTTAATGATAAACAAGAAGATAACAAGATCATTATCAAATCGTCTACGTATTGTAATCGATCATGCGCCTAAGTAGAGTAGTCTTATAGCCATATTTAGACCATGTACTGTACCTTGTAAAAGAGTCTGTAGCGTAGCTGTGGCAACATTTATTTTATTTTTTTAGCAAGTATGCTTTTTGGGAAAGGTTTTCAGCAAGAAAAATCTCTGCAGCGGTAAAATAAGAAACAATTATGCAAGCAAAGAAATATAAATAAACGTTCCCAAATTTGGTTTGTTGCAGAAAAGGTAAGAAGTACAAAAATATAATAATTTTTTCCGCTTTTTAATTTAAATTTTGCTTAACATAATTAAGTAAGTAATAGTGTCTGACCATTCCTACGATAATTCCTTAACAGCTGTTATTCCATAAACGATCATTCTTAAAAATATCAGTTTTTTATTCTATACTGAAAACGCTATGCTTAGTTTCTCTTTTGCTGTAAACAATCAGATAAATTTTTGCAAACTTAAAAATGCAGTCAAAATAAAAAAGAAAATAATAATAATAATAATAATAATAATAATAATAATAAATAATAATAATAATAATAATAATAATAATAATAATAAAATAATAATAATAATAATAATAATAATAATAATAATAAATAATAATAATAATAATAATAATAATAATAATAATAATAAGACAATAATAATAAATTAATTTTGAGATTTTTCGGAATCAGCTAATAATAGTAATAATAATAATAATCGTAATACTAAGAATAAGCAAAGCTTATGGCAATTAAGTCATTAACAGTGGCATAAAATAAGTGATTAAAGAATGGGAACAGTTTTTATGAAATATGTTTTCTGCTATTTACTGTCTCTCGCTTTTCAGTAACAGCACTTTATAGTGCGTAGCACTGATGCTTTAAAGAATTCAAGTAGTGATAAATACCTACTTATGACTTCGTCTTCTTGTTTTGAAACTGTCCCGAATTACTGTCTGCTAGATGCTGAGAGCAGACGAAAAGCAACTACCATCAAAATTCGCTATATTTGTTCTAAATTTATTTTTTATTTTTACCTGTAAATCAGCTTTAACATTAATTGCACTTGCAACTTTAGGGAACAATTCCTCTGCTAACCAAGAATTACATTTACTTATATAACCAGATAAAATAAGAGCTCAAAATAGTTGTTGGAAGCTAACAACAAATTTCACCAAGTTACTTCTTTTCTGTTGTTATAAACCTGTATCTTCTACTTGAAAAAATTTAAAAAACATTACTTATTTTCTATAAATGCGGCAAAAAAGGAGACAAGATTAAGCTGGTAGGTAAAATAACAAATTTAATCAACTCACAAAATCCAAATTAAATTTTGTTTTGAAATCATTAACTCTTAATTACGTTAAATTATGACTGTATTACCTTTGCTAAATAAGAGGTAAATTTTCTAAAGCAACATTCTGCCGCTAATTTACTTGTAAGCCAGTCTTGAAACGACCAATAAAAGTTCTCAAAAAACAAAACAAACAGAAAAAGTCGCAAATTTGTTAAACACCTGTTTCTGGTCTAAAATCCTAGCAGAGAAAGCCTCAAAAGTACATCTAGTCAAAGTTCAGAAAATGTTAATCGCCATTGTTCTGCAGGTCTTAGAATTGCTCTTTTAAAAATTGACTAATACAACTAATAAATGACAGAAGATTGTTAGTTACTCTACGATTGTAAAAGGTGAAAAAAAGCGTGAAGTTTTGGAAAAAAATATTACTGATTTCTTAACTTTACAAGGCATAAAATTCGCATTATAAATTTTTCCTCAAATTTAAAAAGACGTTCTTACCCAAGTCCTTTCCAAAGGTTCTACCCTCAATATCACCGACCACATTTCCTATCACTCCAAACGAACTGATTTTTCAAAAGAGTATCAATAAATATTAAAAAGTTGGAAAGCTATAGATTAATGTCGAATAGAAAGACGATTTTTGGTACTTGGATATTTCACTTTAGACCTCAGCATTTCCTCTTCCTCTTCTTTCCCCTTCCCCCCCCCCCACCACCTTTGCAAAGGAATCATTCCCTCAAATTCTCTTAAAATCAACAATTCTCGAGGAAAAACAATGAAATTGAAAGAGATGTCAAATCAACAAACTAATCGGCATGACGTGGAAAAACCAATACAAACTCTTTCCACTTATGAAAGAGCTCGAATATTCTACCATCACTGACAGGTGACCAGACGTACAAAGTCAAGTCAGCATACTTGTGGAACAGAAGCCTACACGCTAAAATCCTGAGAAATTTGTGGAGAGAAAATACGCTGTACACAAGCTTCTGAGTGATTTCATAGCGTTTGAAGAAACAACAGCCCGTCAACAATGGACTCAAACGTCCTGGTTAGCTCAGCTTCCATCGCGCAATTTTAGTGAATTATTGTTTAAAACTGCCTTAACCTGATATAGCTCGCCTCAAACTAAAAGAATTATAAAAAATACGCTGCATAAAGCAATGTTTTCCCTCCATTAAAAAAGTTTAAATTTATTGCAAACGTGCAAAAATCCATACTCAACAAACCAATTATGGTGAGGAAAATAACACAGCAGGAAACAATGACCAAAAAATAGAAAGATAAAATTTCCAAAACTCTTCAATCTTTAACGTAAAGTTAAAGAAAAAACAGTGTTGACAACAAAAGAAAGTAGATCATATACACGCACAACAATTCTATGTTAGGAATCTTATTAGATCCAGATGTATAGTTTAGCATAGTTTAGGAACCCGTCTCATATACCTCTAATTAAAGTTCTGAAGTTAATGCTTAAAAGATACATAAAAAGTATATCAATAAAACAACGGCTCGAATGACAGCAAGTAGCCGGCATTGCTGCAAAAACAAATTATCAACTAGATGCAATAACCGTAGAATTGGCAAATCTTTGCCGATTTAACTAATCATTTGAGTGAAATCTGCATAAGTGAAATTATCTGCGTTGCAATTATTAGCAGAGGAAATACAGCTGTTAGGTAAGACTTGAGAAGAATTTTTCAAAATTAAACAACTACTGAATTTGAAAGTTAAGTTATCAAAAATCAAAAAAGATTAGAAATGTTGATATACGCGGTACAAACAGCAAAAAAATGACTGTAAGCAAAATAATCAACTTGTCACAGAGCTGGCAATAGAAGTTGAAGGACCTTGCGCTTCATCGAAGAAACTCGAAGAACTCAAAAGACGAGATCGAGTACCTTGAGGAGCCTCCAATCGTGAATCTGAAAAATATGGATGAAAGCATTAACACATTCAGAGCTGCCAAGAAAAAACATTTTTTTTTAAAATACACACACTGTTCCTACCTATACTCCGTATTACGTATAGCAAAATAAACAAAGCACCTACAGTGAAGAAATACTAGGTCCTAGGACACAAATTTAAAATAAATTTTTTTCAAAACATTTGGATTTTCCTAAGAATGACAATAATTTTCCAATATAATCCACAACACAAACATAGAAGAGAGCTGAGCAAAAATTGTTTATTAAATCGTTATGGTGCCTGATTCCACCTACAGATCTTACTCACGTCCCAAGTACACATAACTAATGTGTTTCAGCAAGAATATTTAAAGTTATGGTTAAAATAAATATCAATGTCCCTTCTGAAAACAGAGAGTTATTCATGGTCAAAGAAAGCCATTAATCTTACGAGAAATAGTTTCAGATGGGACGCGGTAAAATTTTGAAAGAGGATCTAATCAGCAAAATGACTTGAACAGTACCACAGTGGGGCGGATAAAATGTTGCGAGGAGCCGCTAAACATATGTTTGAAACTGATATGTCAAACCCGTCCGCCTCCGTTAAAGGTAGGTTTGAGAAAACCCCTAATCGTTTTTTAAAATATTATGTTTAGAAATTCTACATAATCTCTGTAAAGCTCAAAAGATTCTCTTTTGAGTTTGCATAATCACTTCTTACCACTATTTTTCTTCTCATAAGGAATTACAGTAGAAAAGTATCGAAGATATTAGAATTGAAAATATAATCCTCTTCATAGATAACAGAATAATTGAAAAATCCAAATAAAAATCCTAAAGTCTCGGCAGCAAAAAATTTGAACCCAATTCGATTAACAAACTGTCCATTTGTAAAAAATCAAACGATACTTTCTTATCAAAATCACTATTATTTTTTAAACCACTCTCGAAGAAATTACCCTCTAAAGGACAGGAGGGTAAACCAAAAACTCTGCAAAAAAAAAAAGGAGCACTCAATCAAGAATTTGAATGAGAAGTTTCTTTTGCTGAAATAAGCGTAACAGAGGTCCAGAAAGGAAGACAAAATGTAAAAAGAAAATATGTGACGATGGTCCGAAAAGTAAAAGTCACAATGAAGATTGAACAAAGGAAGATATAGTTATTAAAAAATAAAATGCGCATTTTGTGTAGAATCAATCACAAACCCACAGTAATTAAGAACTATTACACGACAGAATAATTAAATTCTTCCGACACGGTAACCCACTCAACAAGAAGGTTCGGCAACTAGACAGTTGCTTCCTCGTCAGCAAAAAATAGATGCTTAAGAAGCATTGAAGTCCAAAAAAGCCCTGTAAACGTTTTAAGAGCAGCCCAAAAAACATTCGCATAAAATAACGCTATTGCACTCATCATGCTTAAGATTCAGTAATAATGTAAGGCATGGTACTACGCATCAAAAAATTAGGCCGCCGCTGCCAATACGACAACGCCCAATATAAAAGCTGATTCAGAGAACGGTCAGACTAAGACTCTTCTCGATAAAACAATAAAGTTAATAAATATTCCAGTATACAAAAAATCAAGACTCCTCTATCGTTCATAAGGAAATGCTGTCAATGGTAAACATTCAAAAAGAAAAACGCAGAGATTCTTCGCTTCTGAAAAAA